GTTTTAAAAGAAAAAATCACAGAAAGCGAAAATCTCTGTATCAATAAGAATTTATTTGTTCCTCCATATTTTGATTCAGACATTCAAACCTTCATATATAGAACCCTATTGCCATGTGTACGTCAGGGGCAAAATTGAATGTGCCTTATTATCCGCATTTCTATCTCGGTTGCCAAACGTTTTCATGTACTGCACAATGTTATCGCTATAAAACGGTGAGCACATTTATCATTCAGCGTTTACATCGTTGCACTTGTCCTTGCCACATATAACTATAGCTAAGTCAAATGAAAATATTACGAAACGAACTATGTATTGATATTAAAATAGCCATAGACGAGTCAAATGGGAATTTGAGATTTTGTTATGAAAAATACTTTTTAAAAAATAGGACGATTTCGTGGTTCAGAGCATCCGGATACATTTGATTAATAAGAATAAATACCGCTTTCAGTATTATCATCGATGATACCTCTTGGGTAACAGACATTCGTGTCCGTATCTGTGTGTGAAAAGGGGTGGCCACTTGAAAGAAAAAATGGATTTTGCTGGAGATGTTAGTGTAATTAGGAACACAGTTGACAGATAGTATGATTTTCAAACTATTTTTGTCTACTTTAACATTATCGTAGAATACTTTTGTTTAATATATTTATTCAATTATTTCCGTGAAGTTTTAATCATGAACTGCCGACTCCATCAGCCTATCATCAAAACATTAAGAAACTGCAAAAAAATGTTTGTACCGCAAACCAGTGCTATAAATTGTTAGGAGTGAGACATCACATAACATTTCAATTACATTCAGAATTTGTCAGATTTTATAGTTGTTGCCCTGACACATAAAGGAATTACAGTACGTGTATAAAGGACTTACATTACGTATATAAACTTAATTCATTATATGTAGCTTTCAGAATTTTCAATACAAAATAAAATTTTAATATTAATCCATGTAATAATGAATGTACAACAAGCAACTCAGTAAGCATGTCTGTATTGGCTATAGCGATTTTATAATTAATAATTCAATCTTTCTGGACAGGAACACCTGAAATAGGCGGTCTAACAACAATCCAAGGCCTGGAGATCATCAGGGGATGCCGTGGTCTTAACATTGTTGGCGGAGATGTAGTTGAGGTTTCACCACCCTACGACCCTACTGGGACGACGGCGCTGACGGCTGCGAATCTATTATTTGAGATGCTCTGTGTATTGCCAGGAGTTAAATATAACATTTAATCGACGTCCGCGCTCATTTTTATTTTTAGTTCAGATAATCTGTATAATTCCAGGAGTTAAATGTATACATTGAACTGACGTCCATTCGTTTGTTTTTGTTTGGTTTGTTTGTTTGTTTGTTTTAAAATCAGAATTAGCGTCAGCGAGTAATTGAGTACGAACACGAGACTGATAATATAATCTCAAGTGAGACACCTTTGTATGGTGGCGCACATAAGTAGTATGATGATAGCTGATTCCTAACCAAACAAGTAACCTATCTGGGTATTGGGGGTGAGAGGAAGAGGGATGGCGGGAAATGCTTGAAAATGAAACCGAAAGCAGGAATTATAATTATTTTCAAACTGATCTGCGGCCAAAGGCAACAACTATTAGACATTAAAACTTGATCGTTTCTTTGAAACTTAACTAGAGTAGTTTAAAATCAGACTATTGAAAAGATAAACCATAACATAAATTGACATAAGCAATAGCAACAACAATGAGAACAAGAAAGAAAAAATGTAGAAATGCAGCACTAAGTAAAACTGATGTAAGGACTGAGCATAAATAGAAACGATAATCTAATTACGGCTTTTCTGTGGCATTCTATTACATTGCAGAAATCATTGGTAAGGATAAATTTAAATGTAAATACGGTAATACACGGATAGTTACAATTGTTTATCTCACAAAAATGGTACTACTGAGACATATGGAAGAAAAGTTAAAATTTAAAAAGAAGGACATCAAGAATCACAATAATTAAATATGATATGGATAATAAAGAATATAAAGAGGTGCTGCAAACCCTAAAAAGAAGATAATAACCAAGCAAATGTAAGGAAATGATCAACAGGTATTTGTGTATGATTTGTATTTTTAACATAGCTTTAACCATTTTCCAGTTATATCGCTGATACCTGCAGTATGGCAATTTATAGTGATATCCGGTACTGGGGCATCATGCTGCAGACATGTAGCATGATGTCCCACCCAGTCACGTTATCCTGACACCAGGCCTACCAATCCTAAAACTAACCTCTTAATGCTGAGCTCCAAGCGAGGAAGTTGCTAGTATCATGTATGTAAGTCTTTGATATGACTCGGCGTTCGAACCCACGACCTCTCACATTTGAGGCAGAGGTTCTAAGCACTTAGACCACCGAAGCTGTCAAAAGAACAAACGAGTAAATGTTTTACATCGTATCATATAGTTGCATATGAATTACACTTAACAAACTCCCAAGCAAGGTAAAATACCATTAATTCACACCCCAGTTAAGTCCATGTAAATTGAAAACAAAAATCTTTGTACATGTTAACATTTCAAACTGCATCTTATAAGATAATAGAGGTAATATGCAATTTAATCACATTTCACTGGTTAATGTAATAAAGATTCTATCCATTTATTACATTTGAGGTAAATTAGTTTCTCCATATTGCAAGGCTAAACAGTTGCATGACATAATTGTTCCACGTTTAAATTGCTGACCATAAAATTCGTCACATGTCAGTGACTCTCAGTTGATCGTCATGGTAACAGATACTCCAATGCAGTATGCATAGCGCGATAAATACCATTGCAGTATGCATAGCGTAATAAAATTGCAGTATTCATAACGTGATGAATACCATTGTAATGTACATAGCGCAATAAATACCATTAGAGTGTACATAGCATGATAAATACCATTGCAGTGTACATAGCGCGATATACCATTACGGTGTGCATAACATGATAAATACTATTGCAGTGTACATAGCGCGATATACCAGTACAGTGTGCATAGCATGATAAATACCATTGCAGTGTGCATAGTGCGATATACCATTACAGTGTGCATAGCATAATAATACCATTGCAGTATACATAGCTTGATAAATACAATTGCAGTATGCATAGCGCGATAGATACCATTACAGTATACATAGCGTGATAAATACAATTGCAGTATGCATGGCATGATAAATACCATTAAAGTGTGCATAGCGTGATAAATACAATTGCAGTATGCATGCCATTATAAATAACATTACAGTGTACATAGCGTGATAAATACCATGGCAGTGTACATAGCTTGATAAATACTATTGCAGTATGCATAGCACGATAAAAGCCATTGCAATATGCATAGTGCGATAAATACCATTAAAGTATGCATAACGCGATATATATCACTGTAGTATGCATAGCGCGATAAATACCATTTAACTAATCATCAGTGATTTTGAGAATGGAAACCTTAATTAGTCGTATGCTGCAAGCAAAGATGGAAACCATATCTTTCAATCACATTGAGTGAATATAGCTTCTCTACAGTTCCAGTGAAACCACTGATTGAACACCATGTGAAGCATATGCAGGCTATTTCAGAATATTTCCACTATAGAAATAATTTACGTTTATAATAGCTTCTGCGTATTTCATATTTCTCCAATATCAATCACATCGAAAAGAATAGAATTAAGAAATATATTTATGTTGCATTATCCGTGTCATTTTGCGGAAAACCAAATCAATTTCAAAATACTCTTTTGTCTCCTGTATATCCTTACTTCGACGATATATTCAGATCTCTCATCAAGGAAACTGTGGCAATTAAATCGGTCAAGGTGAAAAGTATAACTACAAACTATATTGCCCCCACCAAAAAAAATATCTTTCAAGAACATCTTAAAGCTGAAAACAAAACTCCAGCTGTTATAGGTAACTATTTACACTGTACATAGGGTCATTGTATCGGCATAGGCTTAGTTAGAGGCTCCATTGGGGTGATCATATGTCGTATACGCTTGTGTGTGTGTGTGTGTGTGTGTGTGTGTGTGTGTGTGTTTGTGTGTGTGTGTGTGTTTGTGGCTGTATGAGAGAGAGATATTTTGGATTTTTAACGAATCTTTACCAATTTTTCAGTCATATCGCTAATGATGTCTGTGGTGTGTCAGTTTATTGTGATGTCTAGCGGTAATGCATCATGCCACAGACATGTAACATTATCAGACAGTCACATTATCCGGACACCAGGCCAACCAGTCCTAACACTAACCTCCTAATGCTGAGCGCATAGCGAGATAGCTATTTGGTCTTTGGTATGACTCAGATGGGGGTTCGAACCTGCGATCTCCAGGATCAGAGGCGGACTCTATAACCACTAGGACACCAGAGCGGTCGCTTGTTTATGTAAGAAGCGTATGCGCTAAAGTCGAACCTGCTAGATACATGAACTAAATATTTTACATTGGATAGGTCATCTTGAGGTCATAACAACAGAAAAACAATATTCTTTTAAAACTAAGATCCATTTATTTCCTATGCTCAGTTTTGGTTTTCATCGCGTTCAATTTTTCATAAGCAAATCATGAATTGAGAGATAAATAGTATTTTAAATCTATACTTCATACACTCGGTTTCTGTATTTCTGGTGTCTTTGTTGAAAGAATTCTAAAATGTTAAAATTATATTACAGTCGTTCTATAAATGCAGCTATCTGTATCAACTGTGAAATGAGTACTTGCTTCATACGTTAGGGGTGTGTGTGATTTGTGTTTTTAACGTAGCTTTAAAAAAAATCAGTCATCTCGCTACGATGGTTTGCAGAGTAGCAGTTTATATTCATGTCTAGCACTAGAGCATCATGCCGCAGACATGTAGCATCATGCCCCACCCAGTCATATCACCCCGATACCAACCCAACCAGTCCTAATATTTAGCACTGAATGCTCAGCGCTAAGCGAGGCAGCTGCTAGTACCATTTCTTTAAAGTCTTTGGTATGACTGGGTCGGGGTTCGAACCTATGACGTCCCGCATCCGAGGCGGACACTCTAACCACTTAGGCTACAGGAGCGGTGTGTTTAATACTTTATAATTTCTATGGTTTTCTTGGGCTACTGGGGATAAGAAAAGAGATACCAATCATTGAAAAGTATTTGAAATCTATTTTTGTTTTTAAAATGCAGAATACTAGATGTTTGATGGTAGATATTGGAACATTAACAAGTGCGTTCTCTTGTACTATGATTATCCAAAACTCGATGCAACACCATTCTTCTGCTGATCCAATCTAGAAGAAAAGAATATTTCTTTCGTATATCAAAATCGTTTCTATACTACGAAAATACTATAAAACAAAATACTTCCTTGACCTCTTTAAGAACGATAAGATATATTACATTTATAAAATGCGACAATGATTTTAAAATTAATTAATAATAAGGTTTCTGAGGCGTTTATAATCTGAAAGTAAAGAAACAAACATCAATCAGTTGTGGAGATAAATTTTAAAACTAAAGACAAAATGAAGATTAAATGCAGTGAATTGAAGGAATGGGTTTGACGTCAACAATCTACCAACAAAAGAGAAAACAATGCGTGCAAAAGTGTGTACATGACGAAGTCCCATAGGTAGTGAGGCACTGTTGATTTACAGGAATTCAAAAACTTTAATAACGTATATAAATATATTTTAAGAGTGATAGGTATTTCTCCAAATATGATTGAGCTGAGAGGATGAAGTTTGAAGTATCGGATGAGATATATGGCTCATTTAGAGACATCTTTAAAGAATGAAAACCAAGCAATATACAATTTGATGAAGAAAAAGGATTTTAGTAGCTCAATTTTAAAGATTTCTTGAAGAAAGACAAAAATATTTCTCAGCATGCTCAGGAGAAGGTTTCTCTAACAGAAACGTTGAATAAAACTATAAAATGCATACATTATAATACAAAAATAATCTAGAAAATTGGTAAATGTAATGGTTTAAAAGATATACTTCTAATCTACACTAGCGATCCTAACATAAGTCAAATATATGGATGAAACATAATAGTTGTTGAACGACTGATGCAAATGGAGCAGTTTGAGATAATGTAGTTATATACCTCTCTAATTCAGCAACAGGGGATGATTTTTCAGAATTAAAAATATATAAATCGGGATGTAGTTGTCTACTTTAAGTGTGCAGAAGTAATAAATGAACTAATGTTTGTGATATAATGTTTTAAAAAATTCAGTTTCCGTTCAAACAAACGCATTGTCTTCGTTTTTATGTTGGTTATTAGTCGCTTTTGCAAAATCTTAACCTTATGGTTATTTCAAGCTGAATTTTACATATTTCTTACATATGGTAATATAAAAATATTTGCGAACATTCAGCGTTAAAAACAAATTCACTTTTTTATTGTTCTTTGTACTTCTGAAGCCTTTTAGCGCCATTTTTGTGTGTCCCACCCCATCACTTTTGCATGAAATGCCATAATGACGCGTCGTACACAAGTTGAAATTATTTCTTACTCCTAAAACTAATAGTGCATATTCACTACAGCGTTCTTGTACATCTATATGCTGATCTGAAATCAGTTTAGTAAACGATAATTGCCAATTTAGAATGTAATTACCATAAGATAATTTCAATTCTTTAAAATAAATGACAAAAATTAAACAAAACAAAAATAACATTGAATACTTCCACATATCTGCAAAAATATGTCAGTTATATGGACAAAATTTTTGACTAATTGCTCATTCACTTTTACACGTTGTACAGGTTTCCACTAACTTTTTATTATAATAATCTGCATTTCTATTGTGTAAAATGTGCATGTTCCAACATTAAATTTTATTATGACAAATTTGTTTAAAATATTTTCTTATTAATTCGGACCAATTTTGTGCAATATTATACAGTTTGTGAAGTAGTATTAAACTGTGAAAACAAAGATGATGAGAGAGGAAGGAGAATCTGTTCTCAAGACGTATGTATGATTATTTTATTTTTTTAATAAATGGATATAGTACAGATCGATTGCTTGTTCTTTACAATGTCAATATTCAAAATAGATTGATATTCACAACAAATGCCATGAATTGGTTTTCTTTTTTTCAGAATAATTTAAATTTTACATCTTTTTGCCCATACTAAACATGAAAATTTTAAATTAAATATAAATTAAAATTAATTGTAAATATATAGTCCAAATCTAACCTCGAAAATACATTAGACACTTAAAATTTGTGCCAAAATTCTTAAGGGACAGGGGACAGTTTTTATGCATCAATGTAATGCCGTATTCAACAGACTAATATAAAAAAAAAACATGAAGAAAGAAAAAACAACAAAACAACACAAGCTAGGTTAAAAACGTTCATATTTTGTGGATAGCTATATTAAATCAAAGCATAAGAATATTAACCACTTGACCTGAGAAGTCAATGGCAGTTTATAGCAGAGGAAGTTTATGCACCCCAACCCCAAATTTATACCTACTTTTTTTTTTCACGGCCGAAAGTCATTTTTGATAGCATGTGATGCTCACAGTGCAAATGTAAGCCATTCTCCTAGCTGATAACTCTAAAAAAACAGTGTGTACTAAACAGGATGATACAATTGAAAAAAATTGTAACCCAAGCTGTTTTTGAAATTTTCTACTTGACCCGAACCAGAGTGTTTTCTGCCGGAAGGAGGGGGGGGTCTTCTTCCTAGCGGGCTATTGGAATTTCACTATCTATATACTGCATACTAACAATGGAAAGTGTACAAGAACAACACAAGCCCGAAAAACGTTGCTTACAAATACATCCATATCTTTAATTACTAAACAATAATAGCTGAAAAAGTCATACCATAGCGTTAAGAAATTTAACAGTGGCCAATTTACGAAACATCATCCACCTTTGTACATTTACAATAATGAACGGCAACACATTTATATTTAATTCCTTGGCATAATTGGTCTCGTTATCATAAAATGAAGTTTTGTGTTTTCTGAATTCAATGTATGCCGTATGTTGCCATTGTTGCATTTATTATGCACCCAGTTGTACAGAGGGAATTTGTGGATATGTGAGAAAGCTTGCCAGTACATTCTCGTGGGTCGGTGGTTCTTTCCGGTGATTTCTAGGTTTCTTCCTCCACCATTAATACTGGCCGCCATGAATATCGTGTGCTGAAAATGGCGTTAAGCCCAACAATAACAACAACAACAACAACAACAACAACAGAGGGAATTTTCAAAATCAGGTGATATGACCAGGTTATATATGAATTGGAACATTCAAAGGATGAAACATGGTCAAACAAAAGACGTAAATGTGGTATTTCCAAACTCAAACACCACACAAAATCAAACAAATTATACTGAGCGAAATGTATTGAGACTCTTAAGTAGACACACAACGTGGTGCTCGAACACATCTCAGACCGTTACATCATTAAAGAAACCTCTCCGGTGGCCTAGTATTTAGAGCGTCCGCCTCGAATGCGGAAGGTCGTGGGTTCTATCCCCGGTCAAGTCATAACAAAGACTTACAAAAGTGGTACTAACAGCTGTCTCGCTTGACGCTCAGCATTAAGAGATTAGTGTTAGGACTGGTCGGCCTGGTGTCAGGATAATGTGACTGGGTGTGACATCATGCTACTTGTCTGCGGCATGATGCCCCAGTGTTAGACATCAATATAAACTGCCACACTGCATACATTGTAGTGATATGACTGAAAGATTGTTAAAGCTACGTTAAAAATCATAATCTTATCATACATGATTAAAGAACATAACTGAATGCTTGTGAGTTTATTGCAATGATTTTGGTAACTAGTTTTATTATATCTGCATTTAGAGGTAAATATTGTGGGCTCGCAAGCTTGTAGCTTATCTCGGTAAAAGACGCTGAAATCCAATTTATATTATTGCTATTTTCGGTTTAAAATCGTAACTAACTTGCCTGACTTCGCAATCGTTTTCGGCTATAATCATTTTTATTACCACATGTAACCAAGAGATTTTTTCAAAAATATGTATCGTTTGTAGCTGAGTGCAGGTATACAATACTGTACGGTTGACAGAATATCGAATAGCAACATATCGTGCAAGTTCACTGACAATTTGCATAATTCTTGTGGAAAACTATTTATAAAAGAGTGAACACAAGTATTCTGCTCTTTGTGGTTTGATGATCAATTTTACGCATTCTTGACGGCGCCGTTTTATTAAATACAATAAGGAATATTAATGAGGCAACAGACTTGACACATTTTTTAAGATCTATTCATTCTGGTGGAGATTAAATGGGAGGAATGGTGCGAGAGAGAATGAAGAGAAGAAGGAAAACTAAAATACACCTAAACATTCAAATATATGTCTGAATAACATACCTCCTAAATGGAAAAATAAAGTAGCTCCAAATATGCAATCAACACTGTGGCGATGAAGATGATATCATCATTATGACAATAATATTTTTCATCCCACTGACTTATTTAAATATCAGATTATGATATATTGTAACAGAATAATGATATAAAGCTATGTCTTATTATGATTGTTTTGGTACCCATATCTCATTTGATAAGTATTTACTCCATAGGCACTTATATCCCATTTTGCAAGTATTTACTCCATAGGCCCTAATATCCCATTTTGCAAGTATTTACTCCATAGGCACTTATATCCCATTTTACAAGTATTTACTCCATAGGCCCTAATATCCCATTTTGCAAGTATTTACTCCATAGGCACTTATATCCCATTTTACAAGTAGTTATTCCATATGCACTCATATCCCATTTTGCAAGTATTTACTCCATAGGCCCTTATATCCCATTTTACAAGTATTTACTATATAGGCACTCATATCCCATTTTACAAGTAGTTATTCCATAGGCACTTATATCCCATTTTACAAGTATTTACTCTATAGGCACTCATATCCCATTTTACAAGTAGTTATTCTATTGGCACTCATATCCAATTTTACAAGTATTTATCCCATATCACTTATGTCCTATGTTACAACTAGTTATTCCATAGGCACCCATATCCCATTTTACAAGTATTTACTCCATAGGCACTCATATCCCATTTTACAAGTAGTTATTCCATAGTCACTTATATCCCATTTTACAAGTATTTACTCCATAGGCCCTAATATCCCATTTTCAAGTAGTTATTCCATAGTCACTTATATCCCATTTTACAAGTAGTTATTCCACAGGCACTAATATACCATTTTACAAGTATTTACTACATAGGCCCTAATATCCCATTTTGCAAGTATTTACTCCATAGGCACTTCTATCCCATTTTACATGTATTTACTCCATAGGCCCTAATATCCCATTTTACAAGTATTTACTCCATAGGCCCTAATATCCCATTTTGCAAGTATTTGCTCCATAGGCACTCATATCCCATTTTACAAGTATTTACTATATAGGCACTCATATCCCATTTTACAAGTAGTTATTCCATAGGCACTTATATCCCATTTTGCAAGTATTTACTCTATAGGCACTCATATCCCATTTTACAAGTACTTATTCTAATGGCACTCATATCCAATTTTACAAGTATTTATCCCATATCACTTATATCCTATGTTACAACTAGTTATTCCATAAGCACCCATATCCCATTTTCAAGTAGTTATTCCATAGTCACTTATATCCCATTTTACAAGTAGTTATTCCACAGGCACTAATATACCATTTTACAAATAGTTACTCAATAGGTACCCATATCTTGTTTTATAAGTAGCTAATCCATATGCACTCATATCCCATTTTACAAGCAGTTATTCCGTAGGCACTCATATCCAATTTTTCAAGTAGTTATTCCATAGGCCCTAATATCCCATTTTACAAGTAGTTATTCCATAGTCACTTATATCCCATTTTACAAGTAGTTATTCCACAGGTACTCATAAGCCATTTTATAAGTATTTACTCCATAGGCACTCATATCCTATGTTACAAGTAGTTATTTCATAGGCACTCATATCCCTTTGTACAAATAGTTACTCAATAGGTACCCATGTCCTGTTTTATAAGTAATTAATCCATACGCACTAATATCCCATTTTACAAGTAGTTACTCCATATGTAAACACTACAGACCAATTATTTATACTGCAGCTAATTAAATACTTAATTTTCCCATCAATTAGATATTGTAACAAAAATAGTGTACGAGCAATTAAAGGTGAAAAATGCAAAACCAATGAGTTCATGAAGATGATGATAGCCATTTTAGTTAAACAAATACATGTCAAGCAGTTGCCACGATTATTCAATGGTATATACAGATGTCTTAAAGATACATTGCATTCTAAATTTCAAACATCTAAACTTTATCCCTTTGTTTAACACGACATTTATTGGGTATGACAGTCCTCTGTATCTCATTTTAGCTTGTAGAAAGAAACGAATGAATCGGTAATAAATAATCCGGATGAAGAGGTAGAAATAATGAAGCAGTACAAATAATAAAGAATAATGGTAAGAAATATATTTCTCTTTGAAAGGTTTCCGTGGTTGATAGGTTTATGAACGATGGTAATCAAATTACTGCGAACATAACGACTAGATTGGGACAGTCTCTAATGTAGTGTTTAAAACTTTAAATGATTACGAATTTGTTGAGGTCTTAAAACGTTAACGTGGATGGAAACCTATTTTGTTAAAAGAACATCTGTTCATATGAGTTATCAAAGAGTTTTGATAAACCTGATGAAACCAGAAGGGAAATTGCACCCATCGCTATCTTATGACGATGACCAGTTCACTTCTAAGATAAGTTCCTGTGGTTAATATCTCTGATTCTGTTACTTGGTTGTCATTATTTGTTTATGTGTCATTGGTCTTTTATCACTCATGTCAGATTTAATTTATTTTAGACTCCTAGCTAACTATCATATTATATAGCTCCTATTCTGACTTTCTGGTGTATACAGTCTAGCTTTAAAATTTGGGTTTTCTGTACTGTATTGGGCATACTATACTGTAGGTCTATACTTTGTGTTAATGGGAAACAATAACTGTTTTAATGTCAAGACGCACAGTATGAGCTGTAAAGAAGAATTCCAACATGAAAAAAAATGGTAAGAATTTGATATCATTGGTGCACATAAACTTCTATTGAGAGCTTCTTTTTCACTTACACACACACACACAGACACACACACACAATCAAGACACCTATGGTACATATCTCTTTATTTCGCATATGTTGGTGATATCGTGGTCAAGTTGCGTAAAGAAAGAAGTACTTAAGATATGATATTATCTTAGGGTACCTTAGAAGTATATGATCAGTTGATATTATTACTATATGGATAAATGCACATTAGAAGTAAAAATTAATAGGGAATATAATAGTCATTAATATATATTCTCTGAAATGAATATTTTCATGAAAATTTATTAAAAGCTATTCTTATCATGCATGTGATCAAACAATTGAAACCAGACTTGTGCAAATAACTTTTGAAACAGTCTGAAACGATATATTATGGTTGAGTGATTATTTTGTAATTTATATTTCTATCCTTATTTCATCTCCTTCATCAGTTATCATTGTATACATTCATCTTCCAATATATCAAAACTTGTGCCAAAATAATAACTTGAGCTTTTACGTGAAGATCAAGGTTGACGGAATTATTTATGTTAGATCGTTGAATATTTTACTTGCCTCATAAGAGTCCTTCATAGAATTTATGGACAAAGCGGCTCTGATAAAAAAAAAAAATCAGAATTCTAGCAAGACGAAAAATTCCAACCTTACCCCTATGTGATGCGTAGATAATGTAGACTGTCAATAATAATGGCACAAAGAAACCTTCCCGCTAAAGATCTTGTATGAAGAAACCGAGAGCATTTCGGGAGCCATTACATCAATTATAACAACTACAAATTATGCACATTTAGATGATACATCTAAGGATATTGAAAACACCCAGTATGATCCTATTGCATTTTGTAATTTGTTGCCATATTGTTGCCTTATTTTCATGTCAGTGATTCAGACGAAGAAGATGAATAATCATTTTATTAAGAAGAAAAGAATAAAGAAGTAGAAAGAGAAGAAGATGAACAGGAAGAAGAGGGGAAAAATATTCAGATATTAGGATAAATGTAGACGAGGCTGACTAAGCACTTCTCCAAGATGTACAAGCTCCTCTATAACAGTTATATACACTTGATAACAACGATGAAACTGAAGTATTCAGTACTGAGAGTAGCACAATAGAATACCAAGATCTAAAGGATACTCCATTGCTGTCACATTTATGCAGCACTACCACACTGAAAGTGGTTCTCAATGATTTTCGGAAAGGTTAGAGTCCAGTGAACATATGAAAACCTTTTATTTGCACTTGACAACAGGATTGCAAAGAAGCGTTTTAAGTCCACATGTGAGGACAGAAAGTATACAACATTTTCTGTCAGGATTTCCACTATTACATTTGAGAAAGTCAAGAATCAATAATTTAGTATCAGTATATGTGTGACCATGTGT